TAGAAGCCCCAACAGAAGCAGAAAGGAAGATCAGCTCCTGAATTGGAGCACTGTGTGCCCACCCAAGTGAATAGCACAACTTTACAATATTTATCCGAACTTTGAGAATAGTACACTGAAGTAAGCACCAGCAAAACTTCCAAGGCATAGCTACTATCTTTTTTTTTTTTTTAAATCCTCACCAGAGGAATTGCTTAGAGAGAGGAAAGGAGAGAGAGAGAGGGAGAGGGAGAAAGAAAGACACAGAAAGATAGAGAGAGAGAGAGAGGGAGAGGGAGAGGGAGAGGGAGAGCCATCCATGTGAGAAAGAAACATCAATCTGTATATGTCCAACCTGGGGTGGAACTTGCAACCTAGGTATGTGCCTGACCAGGAATCAAACCAGCAACCTTTTGGTGAACAGGGCGACACCCAACCAACTGAGCCACTCAGGCCTGGTACACATCTACTATTTTAAGGACTTGCATAGTTTGAGGAAAACTCTACTATAAGCTTGAAGTTAAATTATATATTGTGCTTATTTTTGAAAGTGCAGTAAAAGTGCTCTAAGGTGTAGATAAGATCCCAAACATGGAATTGGAGAGACAACAGAAAGCAATGCCTCAGGACTTCCATGAGCACAGAGTGTACGAACACTGGCCCACCTGAGGTGTGTGATTGGTGTGGTCTAATGATCTGGAGACATAACCCTGGCAAAGGCAGCGGGCTCTGGTAGTGGTCTGAGTGCATCGAGTGGATGGGCGGTCGGATGGTTTGAGGTTAGCTCTCCTATGGTGGTGCTGGGAGCTGACACCATTCTTGCAGGTACCCTATGCTGACCTTGCCAAGCCCCCTGCCCTCCCGCAGAGCTCTCCTTATTCTGAGCCCCAGTCCTTCCTCCTCCCCGGGCTTCCAGCCTCCTGGGCCTGCCCTTCTTTCCCCTCCCCTCGCCCACCCTCGTGGATGCACCTCGCGCCTGGCGCTGTCCCAGGTCGGGGACTGTGAGGAGACTTGGCCTCCTCTCCGGGCAGTGACCTGCTGGTGGAAACCCAGGGAGGAATTCCTCCTTAGGGTGGTGGCTGGTGCCGTGAAGGAAATACAGAGGGCGCTGTGGTACCAACTAATGGGCTGAGCGGCGTAGGTGCCTCTAGTCCCTCCTCCACTGGCCAGGGCCCTGGTGACGGACACAGGGGATACTCCTCCCAGGTCCTCCTGCAGCGGTGCCACGCCTCCCTTTGGTCCCAGCCCCCCCATTACCCGCCCCCCGCCCCTGGCCTGTCCCAGCCCCGTTCTTCCGGTCCTTTCTTGCCCCTTGCGCCCAACCCTGACGCGCCCTGGTCCCCTGGACCCCGCCCAGGTGTGGCGTTCTGGGGGCTCAGGGAGCGGCTTCCTCCTGTGGGTGCAGCTGGACGGAGACCAAGGGCTGGGACTCTGGGAGCGGGCT